GCAAATGGATGTCAAAACCGCTTTCCTTAATGGAAAGTTGGCTGAAGATGTTTACATGAGTCAGCCAGAGGGTTTTGTCAGTAACGAGTACCCTAATAGAGTGTGTAAGCTTGAGAAATCCATTTATGGATTAAAGCAAGCACCTCGCAGATGGAATCTTTGCTTTGATGAAAAGGTCAAGGAATTTGGCTTTTCTAGGAGTGAAGATGAATCTTGTGTATATGTCAAGGCTAGTGGGAGTATAGTTAGCTTTTTGGTATTGTATGTGGATGACATACTACTCATAGGAAACGACATTCCAACCTTGCAGGAAGTAAAGTCCTGGCTTGGAAAGTGTTTCGCTATGAAGGACCTTGGTGAAGCTGCCTATATTTTGGGGATACGGATTTTGAGAGATCGGAGTAAAAGACTAATTGGACTTAGTCAAAGTACCTACTTGGAGAAGATTCTGAAGAGATTCAGAATGCAAGACTCCAAGAAAGGAGAGTTGCCCATCCAGAGTAGCGCCAAGCTGAGTAAGACACAAAGCCCTAGCACTGAGGCTGAGATAGCAGAAATGAGTCGAATACCTTATGCTTCGGCTGTAGGTTCGATCATGTATGCTATGACGTGTACTCGACCTGATGTAGCCTTTGCCTTGAGCATGGTTAGCAGGTTTCAGGGGAACCCTGGCAAGGCACACTGGATTGCGGTAAAGAATATTCTCAAGTACCTACGAAGGACTAAGGACTGGGTCCTTACCCTCGGTGGGAGTGATGACTTGAGAGTTGTAGGGTATAGTGATGCTAGCTTCCAGACTGATAGGGATAACTTCCGCTCTCAGTCGGGCTGGGTCTTTACCCTAAATGGAGGAGCAATTTCTTGGAAGAGTTCCAAGCAAGAGACAGTGGCAGATTCTACTTGTGAATCAGAGTATATTGCAGCTAGCGAAGCGGCAAAGGAGGCGTTATGGCTGAGGAACTTCATTGGAGACCTTGGAGTTGTACCAGCTATTAAAGAGCCGATGGAAATTTTCTGTGATAGTGAAAGTGCTGTTGCCTTAGCCAAGGAACCAAGGGATCACGGGAGATCCAGACACATCGACAGAAAATACCATTTCATCAGACATCGGATCGAAGAAGGACTCCTCGTGGCAAAGAGGGTATCATCGGATGAGAACCCAGCAGATCCCCTCACGAAGGGACTGACTCGGGTTAAGCATCTCCAGCATGCTCGGAGCATAGGGCTGAAGGATGATATTAGATTTAGTAGTTAGATAATCTCGAAATTTGTAAAGTGTAATTGACATTTGATGATGAATAAAAGTGTTTTATTTATGAGTAAAGTGTTGCTATCTCTTGTCGATCGTTTACTATATTTCTTTTGCATGTTTTGACTTCCAGAATAATTTTGTTTGGTATAACATATTATTCAAACCTCCACAGTCGGTCATATGTCGGAAGTAGGTATGAATCAAGACTGTCATGTTGGTTGTAGAGGTCTGGGACAAGGCTACAACAATCATGAGTGCTCATAAGTTCTGAGCATTGGACTCAACCCACGCTCACTGGAATCACTTCATGGAATTCTATCTCGAGTGATCGTGAGACGGTAATATCATATAAGTCTTTAAACCTAGAGATATGATTTGTTACTTACGAGTTGGTTATGCATTGATTGTACGAAAAACGCATTGGTAACTCGATGTTATAAAATCGTGCTCTTATGTGTAATTCAATGAGTAGTAGAACAAACATATGAGTCGAAGTTTATCTGTTCCTTCTTGGATTAGAAGCTGATATCTGGGCCCCTCGATGATTTTGTTTTGACCTATGTACCGGGCCCGGTCAGAACTAATTGATGTGTTCAATAAAGTTCTTTGTCAAACAAATCGGAAATCGGGAAACAAATGTTGGACAATAAGTAAGACATTGTTCCATGTATTTGTCCGACTGATATCTAGAACAGAGGATTATATGATCACTTATCTTAAATGGCGTACCATCATCTTCTCAAGTTTCGAGAAACCTTGTAAAGAGCTACGATTGCCGATCGGTTCCTGAAGTCATACTTGCAGTAATAGTTACTAGACTTATCCAAGTGGGAGACTGTTGGATAAGGTGTCTAAGTCCATAACTATTTCTGGTATGTACTTGACCCGACCCGGCATGGTCCATTTGGGTTGCATGGCACCATGCAATTGGATAGACTAAATGAGAGAAATAACGCTTGGAGATTATTAATATATTATAAGTTCTAATATATTAATAATATTATTTGATTAGTTTGATCAAGAATTAATTTAGAATTAATTAAGTGATCAAAAGATAACTAATTAAATATATGGGTTGATTAAGTAAATCATCCATATCTTGTATAGTGGGCTAAAAGGCTCCATGGATCATCAAGTTGGGTTCCACCCATAGGATGCTCCATGGATGCTCCATGGGAGTTACAAACTCATGGGTCATGGAAATGAAGAGTCATGACACATTAGGGTTTAACCCTAGATGTGTCAACACTATATAAGTAATATGATCTCCTCCCAAATCGGTTACACTAAGTAATAGAGGGCTTGGCCGATTTTTGAAGAGTGTGTATTCTTTCATAAGTTCTTCCAAGAGCATTAGGTGTTGTGTGAAGCATTTGAGGCATCACACTTGGGGTGCTAGGCTCACAAGGTTTCAAGGAACACAAGCAACAACAAGGTAAGTTATTCTATCTATACTTTATGTTAAAATTGTTCCCCATGTATGCTAGATAGGAATATAACCTTGGAAATCAACTTTGCATGACAAATTAGACAAACATAGATCGAAGGTTATTAGGGTTGCATGTACACTTAGGAAGTGTTAGAATGCTCAAAACCCATCACGTACACCCCATTAAGCTTCGTTATGATGGTTATATGCCACCGAGGGGTATGGAATAATGTTATTGAATAATTTCATCAGTTACCCCGATTAGGGTTTAGAATTTCTGAACGAATGAATTTTCCAAGTGATAACTTCTTATTAAAATAGTGAGTTGTACAATAGTAACATAATATAAACCCTAATGTACAAGGGTTAGATGAGTTGGCCGGTATGGCCTGTTGACTTTATTTGACTTTGACTTGATCGGAAATCGACGGTTGTCACACCAATGATTCCTCATCTTGTAGCTCTAAGTGTTCATATGGTTCTAGAACAATAGGGGAATTTACAAATTAAATGAATATGTTTCAACTCTCTAGCAAACCTAAATTTATGAAAAAACTGTAAACCATGTTCTGAAAAAAAAATTGGAATAAGAAAGTGTTACAGATGTGGTCGTCCATCTTATACATTGGTTGAATGTACATTTGAAGAAAATACAAAAAGAGTTTACAATATTCTAATTCATAACAATAAATGTATCAAAATAGATAATTCATTCAATTTTATTCCTGCTAAGTGTTATGAAATATTTTAGGTTGTTAAATCTTCGACTGTTAAACAACATTACAAAATGGATTTATGAAGTGCTCTAACTATTTATAAGTGTTGATGGGCCAAGAGCATATATGGTATCTTGAAAGTGGACATTTTTGCCATATGACATGATATAAGTCTCATCTACAAGATTATGTTAAGAAATATGGGCATGTAAGTAGGTACGAAGACAAATGAAAGGGGAAAACCTTGGGATATGGCACCATCAACTTTAAATTAGTGGAATTTTCAAATGTTTCATATGTAATGGTTCTTAAGCACAACCTCATTACTATTAGCCAGCTGTGTGATGCTGATAATGAGGTACATCTCAATATAATGAAGGAAGTGTAATTGATTCAAACAATGTTACATTTCTTACCGCTAATCGTCTCCATGACATCTAAATCATGGACATGTTTTCTACTGAAAACTCTCTTAGACGATTTTTCTTCTCTTCTTGGTTATATAACAAAAGTCTCTCTTACCAAAACTTTGAAGCTGTATCTAAAACATCAAATGATTAGCTTGTGAGAGGGTTACCGAAGATGAGGTTTGTAAAGGATATGTCATGTCCAACACTTGAAAATGTAAAGAAAAGAAAGACTTCTTTCAATCCCAAGAAATGTTCTTCTATCAATGTTCAATTTCATCTCCTGTATATGGATTGTTTTTGATCGTGTTCCTGATAAATCACGTGTTGAAAAATATACTTGCTTATCGTTGTTGATAAGTATTCTAGATTCACTTAGGTAATATTTTTGTGTAAAAAATGATGTTGCTGAAGAGATTATTTCTGTAATAATATAGCGTGAAGTGTTAGTTGATCGGAAAGTCACGAATCTTAGAAGTGATCATCTCATTGAATTTTTAAATCACACACTGGAAGGATTCTATGATGAAAAAGGGATCACTCAAAACTTCACTACAAGAAAAAGACCCTTTTACGACGCGCAAACCACGACACTCATTGATTTATATTACGCAAAAGAGAGTGACATTAAAAAAGTGTCATCTCTTCAAAAAATTTAAGGATTTAGGTCACGCATTATTGCGTGCCCTTAAATTAGTGTCATAAGAAAAAAAATTAAGAACACAGAGGGCACTGTATCTTAAATGGGCGTCTTCTATAAGTGTCGCTTTATAATTTTAATGAACGCGCGTGCTTAGTAGATACGGGCGAAAATGAAATCCCCAAAATTTTGAAAACCCGGCTTGTTTTTTTATACTTTCTATCTTTCATCTTCGCGATCGATTCTCCACTCTCTCTCTCTCTCCTCTCCTATCCGCTTCACCACCATTGAACCCTAAAAAATCAATCCACACTTCATGCTTCTGTGATTCCCTCCTCTTCGGCTCTCCAATCTCCGATTTCACTCTAAAAACATCGATTGTAACCACCTTCAAGCACGATGCCTCTCAGCTACAAATCCAGAACAAGAACATACATCACTCTCAAACACCCCCCTTAGCTTGTTCATTATTCTCGACGTCGTGTGGTTTCTAGGGCTCGAAGCAACCTCCTCTATTTTACATTGAAAATCATTTTCCCATTCCATCACTGACCCTTTTGGAGCTATTTCTAGGGTTTGAATCAACATTTACCCTTGTCAACAAGTCGGCCTTGAAATCCCTTGGAACGCCTCACATGTTTCCTACTATTTTAGCCGTGATTCATTGGCTTGTACATATTGCAATGTATAACGAGCACCTTGCAAATTCCACGAAGTCACACTCGATTTCTGGTGACAACATGTTCATCTATACTCTGAATACTTACCTGCTTTACATAAGGGGTAACGACGATGCAATTGAAGGGGAAGATGAAAATTTCATGGAGAAGTTACACCAGGTATTAATCACTTTTCTTCGTATAATCAAAATACCTAAAAATTAGTTTACTCAGGCTAATTTGGGTTCATGAAACGCTGATAATAGGACAAAATCTATTTTGAGGAGAATATATAGGTCAAATCAGGAGATTTGAAGGATTTGGAGGCAAAACTGGAGACAATGAAGTCTGGGCCATCAGAGTTCGATCCGGGAGGAAACAGTGTTTTCCTACATTCATGGTACTCCTTCGGCTCAATTTCAAATTGACTTGCTCCAATGTTTTCGTAGGATTGAAACCCATAATCTCTATAAACCTTCGATGTTTCATGAGGAACCCAATAACTCTTCCCCATAGTCACAGGGATCGCTCTATCAGCCATGATCCATGTTCTAAACGTTTCGTTCCCAATCATGGTACGTTATCGTTCTGAAATGTACTTCGGTACGGAAACTCAACGACCCCACTAAATGGCAAAATCGATTGTTGGAACGTGTTTTTAGAGAACGGATTTGATCTAATACGTGATTGGAATCGCCAATTTGGAGTTTGGGTCGCCAATTTTGCGTTTTTGGAACGCCGATTTGGTACCCTGGCACCAACGTTTTGTCTAATTGGTCTCAAAATCTACCAGTTTTGCTATTGATTTTTTATTTTCCTTATAAATTAGGATTCGATTGAAGCAACTGGTATGATTGAATTTATTGATTATACTCAATTTATTGATTTCAATCAGTTCACAACTTCACATTATTTAATGAATCACTTAATTGATTTCAGATTTCAAATGGTCATTAGGCGATTTCACATCTGCAACTGATTAGAAATAATTAATTTGTTGGGTCACGGAATACATGGCCGAATTTTATTGTTTAGCACACAATCTTAATTTCAAGTTATTAATGTTCCTGCTTTTTTTTACTATTCCTGTTATGGTGTTAATGTTCTTGTTGTTGATTTTACTTTTAGAACAGATCTTAAAGCTGGAAGGGGAAATTTCATACATTCCAGTGGTCAGGGATATTAACAACAAATGTGGGAATGAAGAAGGTAATCACTACTTTTTGGGTGATATTTCTTTAGGCATGCCTTTATCTTTACTACTTCCATTGTGTTCCCTTTGTCAATACCAAACTCCTGCCATGATCAAACCTTTGAGAATGTTTTATTACAGTGAGCTTCAAATATCAACAGATGGGTTTTCTAATTTGGGTGTTGTGGCAGAAAGTGAATTAGGGGTTGTTTTTCTTGTACCATTTTACCTCTTAATATACCAATTATTTTATAACTTTTTTTTTTGCTTTATATAAGTTGAACTTTTTTTAATGCTCTTTTTGGTAAGATTGAATGAATTAATAACTACTGGAGTGAAGGCAGCACAGACAAACGGATTCTTCCATGGATGGTTGATGGGGCTGGACTTCCACTTAATGTTGCAGACCTTCTACCTACACTGGTAAAATATTTATTTAATAGGTAATTTAGGCTGGAAAAATATTTAATATTTATTTAACTAGTTTAATATGTGATTAATAGGTAAAGCTGACTAAAAAAGTTACTGAACAAGTGAGACTTCTAGCAGGTCACTATGTACCCCAATTTGCTTCTCTCATTCTCTCATAAAACAAGAAAACTAACGGAACAAACATTAATCTTCATGGGATTGTGGTAAGTAGTTAGCAAACGAAATAAGAAAAAACAAGTATTGTCACATGTAACAGATGCCACATAAGCACGAATACAACTAATGGGTATTTTGTATTGTGATTGTGCAGATTGGGAATGATGTGATAGATGAAAATGCAGCTGGTGAAGGGATTTATGATTACTACTGGACATATGCTCTAAACTATGATGAGACAAATGCAGGGATAACCAAGTATTGTGGCTATGGTTCTGGGAATTTCTCAGCAGAGTGTCTTCATTATCAAAGCCAATCAGGTAGTGAATATGGTGATATTGATATTTACAACATCTATGCACCATTCTGTGATGGAAGTATCCATAAACATCCCACTAGATCTGTAAGTTTGCAATTCCTTTCAAATACAGGAAATTGCAATGTACTTTTTTTTGAAGACATGATGTGGATAATTAGGTCAAGAACTTTGATCCTTGCTCTGATGATTATGTCTTATCATATCTGAATCGAGCAGATGTGCAAGAAGCTCTTCGTGTCCGAAATACCTCGTGGGGATTTTGCATGTACGTTTTCTTTTCTATCTCGAAACCTAGGATTCCATTATTCCATAATAAACAAAATCAATGAAATTATGTTGTTGTTTCTTGTATTTAACTCATGATTTTATGTGCAGTGGTATTGGAATGATAGACAGCCCAACAACCATTTTGCCTATTATCACTCAACTTATTGAAAATGGAATTAGTATATACAGGTAACTCAATCTAGTCTAACACCCAATCAATTATTTTCTCATTATGGCCTTATTTTCTCAGTTATTTATTAAACATACACAAAAGAAACATACATTTGATTCATGATGAATTGGCAGTGGTGACACGGATGGACGGGTCCTAGTAACCTCCTCAAGGTAGGTACTCTGTAAAACAAGTTGAAGCTTCCAGTAGAGACTACTTGGAGACCATGGTACAATAAAAAAGAGGTACGTAGTGATTTTAAGTCTCAAAAATTAAATATATAAAAATATATGTACCGTAATACCCAAATTTAATGTGTGATAGGTTCGAGGATATGTAATTCCCTAATGGAGTACCTCTTGTGGGTAGTTCAGTAAAACCTGATGTTCTAGAAGAGGAAGGAGAAGGTATTCTCTCTGCAAATTTTGATTAATAAATAGCAATGTTTAATGTTAAAATAAATCTTGTTGGTTTATAATGTCATATTATTAGTTTAAAAAAAAATGTGAGCAGGTGATTTTGGGAGGTCACAACCTGCATCTGATGCACTGTCAAAAGGTGCTTGGTATGCATCAGTGTATTATCAAAAATGTTCGTGGAAGTAACAGTTCCCCTTTTTAATATCCTTAAGATTTTCTTTCTTTTTTGTTTAGGTCTTGAAGAGAGAAATAGATGTCCAACAACTCCGGTGGTATAGCTACTGTTTATTTTCCATGATACCATTTAACATTTGGTATGAATCCCTAGAACCCTAGTTGAAGTGCTAGAAGGGAAAAGTCTAAGAGACAATGGCTGGAGGAACTGGCTAAAATTTAAGAAAAGGTAAGCTGTATTTTAAAGATGATTGTCAAAAAAATTAATAGAAACTTGATATTTCATGTTATTTTTATTTCTTCCAATCTCAAACTGCAGCCTTATACTCATGTAATCAGAAATGTCTAAAGACAAAAACAAATCTAAATATTCGTCATTTTTCCAATCCTCAAACTGCATCCTTATTTCCTCCAATGTATATTTTCTCAATTTTAGCTAAAGCAGGATCATCTAGATGGTCCCTCTCCTTTCCTTTTTCCAGTTCTGCCCTTATAAACTAATATAAATATTCGTCATCATCATCATCATTGTTTATTTTTTTGTTTTTTTCTTTCAGAGGTGAGCAAACAAATATTGGAACTATACGAACAAAACAAAGTGGCACCAGCTCAGACAAGTGAAGTGGTTGACGGGACTACAGGTGGCGGGTGAATCAAAAGGGGGTTGCTGCCACGAGAGCTGTTGGATATTTTTTGATGAAATGCTCTAGTTAGATATATTTTTCCATAAAAGACTAAGTGAACTGCTTGAATTCTAGAGAATATAAAGGTTGCAATTTTAGGTAATTGATTACAAAATGTGTCTCATAGAGGAAGGAAAGTAATGCATCAAACAAGGGTATATAAGCAATTTGGTAGTATCAAATTAGTCGCTAAAGAATCAAAAAACCATAAGCAATTTTACCCTACTTATCAATCTAATAATCCTATAATGGAACTTATAAGTAGGTTAATAAAAAAATACATTGTATTTATGTATAATAATGAGGTTTTTTTAATTGTGGGGTTACATATAGTGGTAGATTTGGGCCAGATATTGCATTTGTTCGAGAGGAATTTTGTAGAAGGTCAACAGCAAGTATGTTTAGTGGGAAGAAACCCGTTGCAGTTGCTGTGAGTCTCACAATTGCATCAATTCAAACTACATTTTGTTATTTTGTAGCTTTGAATACCGATTGAGGGTTAGTCTTGGACCTGTTGGAGACTTGTTTTTAACATCTCGTGTCAGAAATACAAACACAGATCGAAAACCATTTTCTTTCACTTTTGCATATAAAACCAATTTTTCTGTTTCAGATATCAGGTATTAAGTTTTTTCTCGTTCTTTTCCATGTATATATTACATATAATCATGTTAGAATTTGGTTTATATTAGTTCCTATCAAATGGACTTAATATCATCTTTTTTATTATTGCATCATCTTAGTTGTTCCCAATAGAATGGTGTAGCTGTGTTTTCAAAAAAGATTCCATTCTCTTGTTTCAGTGAAATCCATGTAGAAGGATTGAAGACACTGAAATTAAGCACAAGGTACAACCAACATTCAAGACTTTTATTTCAGATCAGATCACAAATTCACAATATATTTATGTGTCTTTGTTATACATATAGATACGGAAGGTAGCTCCGACTTGGGACATGGAGGCTGATGAACGAGACAATTACACACATATTCCAGTAAGAAACAGAGTTAGATGATTATTTGATAGTTAGGAATGTATAACCCATGTTAGCCCTGTCAAAAATACCCGATACCCGAATTACCCGCCCGATTTTTTCGGGTATCGGGTAAATCGGGTCGGGTAAATCGGGTATCGGGTAAATTTTTCCGGGTAATCGGGTTACCCGATTTTTTTTCGGGTCGGGTAAAGGGTACATTTTTTGGGTTTCGGGTATACCCGAATTACCCGAATTACCCAAATTATTATTATTTTTTTTTGTAGAGCTTGTACTATATAGTAGGTATTTGATCACGCTTAAACTAATATCATTATTATAAAACATAAATATATTTATTATGACAATACGACACTAACAATATTAAAAGTAATTTTTATATATCATCACGTTCTTTAAAACTTAACTGTTTTCTATATTATAGTTTTTATTACAACTAACAAACTCATTATTTTGACGAAACTTTAGAACATGACAAAACTTATGACTACATTTATCTTAAACATTTTAAACTTTTAAATTAAGATCTTTAGGTATTTGTTTTTTTAACATCTTATTATATTAGATTAAGTCGTTAAAAAAATACTTGATATCTCATGTATTATTGAGTAGAAAATCTCAATGTTCAAAGCTTGAGTAACTTCGTTTATGTCTCGTTTGTTTATATAAACAAGACTAATAAAGCACGACATATTTATTTCATTAAATTTATTTTTAGGTGAAATTCAAAAAAAAAATCATATATTTCAGGTAATACCCGAATTACCCAAACCCGACCCGATACCCGAATTACCCAAACCCAAATTACCCGAATTTAGTTTGGGTAGGGTAACGGGTAATTTTTCTAACATGAAAAACCCGAATTACCCGAAACCCGAAAAAATTACCCGTTCAACACCCCTAACCCATGTTAGCAATGTATTATTTTTATTTAACATTTGAATGATTATTTGTATGACATATTAAAATTTGTGCAATTTATTTTATTTTTTGTGTATGAAATTTTATTTTATATTATGAAATGGATTGTATTTTTTGTGTATGGTATTTTATTTCTATTATGATACATTAAATGAAAATTTAATTTAAAATCTATAAATAATATTTTTTTAAAATTATGATACGCAAAAATGTGTGTTATCTTCATTTATGACATGGCCTTTCTTGACAGGGCCTTTCTTTATACGCATTGCGTGTCGTAAATGCGCGTCGTAATTGCGCGGCGTAAATGCGAGTCGTCTATAGACGATGCGCAAAAGCGTGTCGTCTTTCTCTATGACAGGGGCTTCCTTGACGCGCATTTGCGCGTCGTCTGAGCCGTTTACGACGCACAATGAGCGTCGTAAAAGGTTGTTTTTCTAGTAGTGAGCTTTTTTGTTATTCGTACTCCTAAGTCGAATATCATCGCTAAACAAAGAAACATAACACTTAGTCAAGTTGGGCGGATAACATTGTGGATGCTGGTCTACCTCTCTCCTTCTGGGATGAAGTCATTAGCACTACATTTTACACTAAGAACCTATGAATTATTGTAATGCAGCATGGAACAACTTCATATGAGCTGCTAGAAGGTATAAAACAAGACATTTCTTACTTTTATGTTTTCGGTTTTGTTTTGTATCATTTTAAATCAGGTGGATCAACTTTCAAAGTTTAAAGCAAAAGCTGATGAAGGGATATTCTTGGGTTACTATACAATTTCCAAGGCATTCAAGATGTTAAATATGAGAAAACAAGATGTTGAGGAATCGATTCACGTGAAGTGAAGTTTAATGAAGAATCTTACCCTAAAGATTTGATTTTGTTGACCATTCAATATCTATCTTAGATGAACTTAATTTTTATCATACTATGAGTCCCTTGAAATGAATGTCCCATATGGAACCTCTATCCCCAATTAAAATTTCTTAGTCACTACAAATCCTAATTCATAAAATCATTCCATTCCCCGCTAGAGTCTGGAGTTTCTATTGATCTCACTGAAAATCCTCCTCACCGTGAGACTGAAGTTCCTACTGACGAAAGTTCCTCCATGTATAATCACATTAATCCTCATTGTTTTCATTATCATCATACCTCTAAAATCATTAGACATACTATAGTTTTTGTTCACACTCACCATCAAACATCATGTAACTTCTGCATGTTTGTTATTTTTTTATCATTAATTGAGCCTAAGAATGGTCATGATGCACTGAAAAATATTGATTGGATTAGAGAAATGAAGGATAAGTTGAATGAATTCAACATACATAAAGTATGGACCTTGTTTCCTCATCTAAAAGGTAAAAATAATGTTCACACTAGTTGGGTGATTCAGAACAAGATGCGAAGAAGATGGAAATATTACTAGAAATAAAGTAGGAGTTGTGGCTACTAGTTTACTTGACTAGGGGGATTTCATTATGGTGAAAAAAAATTCCCTATAGTTAGACTTGAAGCAATCAGACTTTTTCTTGCTTATGCCTCTTACATGAACTTTAAGGTGTGTAAGATATACATAAAGATTACTTTTATACATGGATATCTTGAGAAATGAGTGTTTCTCAAGCAACACACTAGTTTTAAAAGTGAAGAATTCATTGAACATTTTTATAGACTGGATAAGGCTTCTTATGGACAACACCTTGTTTATCAAGGAATCAGGATCTGATATCATCCCGAATCAAGTATATGTCGATGACATTATTTTCGTGTCAACATATTAGGAGATGAGCAAAGAGTTCTTTGAAATCGTGTTAAGAAGTTTGAAAAGAGTATTATGGGTGAGATGACATTCTCTTTTGTTCTAAAAATCAAGTACGTATCCAAAATCATCTTCATTGGTCAGAACAAATACATTGCAGTTATGTTGAAGAAATTTTCACACACTGATTGAAATACAACAAAGAATTCTATGTCTTTTACATTGAAGATGTATGTTGATTTATCTAGTGTTGATGTTAATCTAACTATGTATACATGAATGATCAGATCCTTGATTTATCTCGCTGCTAGTCGCACTAATATAAAGGTTCCAACAAGCCTGTCTACATGTTTTCAGGCTATTTCAAGGGAAGCACATCATCTTGCTATCAAGCATATATTTCCATACTTTGAAGCATACATCAAAACTTGGGATGTGCTATCCTCATGACTTTGGTTTCAATTTAATTGGTTACACTGACTCAGATTATGCAGGATGTCTTTACATTACAAAATTACTTCCATATGATGCTAACTATTGGGAAATAGACGGATCAACTTGTCTAGGATGTCGTTGGTAGATGTTTTGCTCAAGACCAAGTTCTGGATTCAAAAACAACTTTTGGATTATGGCTTCAAATTTACAAAGATACTTATACTACATCAAGTATATTTTGCAAAAGGGAAGATTGAGTTACTTTATGTTCCTAATAGTAGTCAACTCACCGATATCCTTACTAAGAACCTACGTGAACAGAAAATCATGTACCTCAATGGTAAACTAGGCATTCTCTCTCTTGAATAATCCAGTACTATTTATGTAAGGAATTGATGGTGAATGATAAATTCTTGACTAAAACTATATCTATGATTAATTTCACAAATTCTATCATCCGCTGATGAATTATATCTAAATGAATTAATGGAAATTTAACTTTTCCTAGGTTTTACTTTGTATACTTTTTTAAGTCCCTAGAAGCATGTTGTCATGTAACTAAATCTCTCTAAATATCTCATTAGCGATACCTTCTGTTGAGATTATATTAAGTCATCACCTCATGTTGGCTAAATAACATTGTCTAAACTTTGAGTGTGAGATAGCCAAGTCCTCATAAAATAAAATTTATGTATGTGGCTTGGGTGTTCATGTTATGATTAACTGTCTCAAGGAAGACTTTGTTCTTAAAACCATGTTCTCGTATGTAATGTCTCATGAATAGCTGAGACACCAAGCATAACCTAGTGGATCATACTGATAGCATTGTATATTGGTTGAGAGATACTTGTTAGTCCTAAAAGACTAAGGGTTGTTTCATTGTCCTTGACACTTTCTATTAATACCATAGATCTGAAACGACACTCCATGCACCTGTCTATGTCCATAACCCTGTCGATTGTCATTATAGATTAGGATATGAAATCAGAAAAACTATTCCCCTAACGTATAAGATCCGCTGTATGATAAACATAAAGTGTGTGAGCATCAAAACTTCTATATGTCTAAGAACACCTATATTAGACCATACAATAGGTGAGACCTCAAGCATCTCTCCCATGATTATATTGCAACATCTTTATATGATCTTGTAGAACAACGTTAATGCTTCAATGATTTCTAAATGGTAACATTTAGGATGAATTTTTCGAAGAGTTTTGATATAGTTTTTAATTTCTTATTCATCTTGAATCCATTTTAGACATTTGATATACCAAATATAGTGGATCGCAAAGGAAAACCAAAACATAACCGTTTATTCATTTTAATAATGTTGTAATTGTCAAAATTAAGTGATAAAAACAAGAAACCCCATTTTTTAAAAAAGTTTGTTAAAAACTAATTTTCTAGCAGGATATTCGTTAGACTTCCCTACGATACTACAATCCAAATCTAAAATTTGTACGAGACTCATGCAACTGAAATATTCTTCTAATTTTTAACATTTTAAGTTGAAATTTACACGTCATGAAGTACTACAAACCGTTTGTTATTGAAAATTTATAATTAGAAAATAATCTAAATTTTAGATTTGGAAAAATAATATATTTATAAAGATAGTGATCATACATTTGGTGCACCATAAAACAATCATGATTAAGATTTTGATACCAAGGAGTAATGTTGGTGTTGATACTATCGACAAAGAGACAAAAGGGTCCACTTATTCCCCACTTTGGACCATTTAATGAGGAGGAAACATCATATAAGATGGCATCATCCTTCACCTCATAATAATTTTACACTACTAAGACATTCCTACAACCCATATAAAATTAAACAAGTTCATCGAGCGACAATTATTGAACCATTTATATATTTCTTCAACCTTTCTTCAATTTGTTTATTTATTTAATTATTTATTATTATTATTATTTTCT